CGAGTCGTCATTTAAGAAGTTAATAAACAGTCTCTATTTTGCAGGCTCTCCAAATGCTACTGCATAGAAACCCTTGGATCCCTACATCATGTGTAATTAAAATTATTTTTGAAATCCTCCTTGACAGGCCGAGGCTTAGCCAAAATGTAAATGACATTAAAGAAGACAATGAATTTAATTTTATTTAATGTCCCTTTTTGCAGATCCTCATTTACATAGCATTTTTAACAAAAGCGTTGACCTTATAAATGCTGGCATTTGTACAGCTTCAGCGGAGTTGGATTTAATCACGCTCGTGCAAAGCCATGAGGGAGGAAGCCTTAAGTTCTCTGCTTGGAGATGGAGTAGGAATAAAAACATTGGGACTGGTCAAATGTTTATCCTCCTAGCTTCTGAAAACAACCTGACAAGAAGATGTAAGGGCTGGGGAATAACCCGGTGCTGTTTGTAAGGCTTGGTAATAATCATACATAATCGTTTGGAAATATAGCTAATAAAAAATATAATGAGTGTTCAGCAAAATCGGCATTAGGCCCAAATTACATGATATTAATACTTGAACAGGTGCAGAAAGGCGCTTTAAATGAGGTAAATGAATAAAATGTCCCAGAGCACAACTGTGTGTGCTGACAAAAAGTCAATCCCATGAATAATTCAGTGAGCAGGACTGCCAGCAAAGGTCGGCTCTCTTTGACCTTTGTGACAGGAAGTGAAAGGAAACACTGTTGACTAAAAAAAAAAGAGAGAGAGAGAGAGAGAGAAGAGAGAGAGAGAGAGAAGGACCTAGAGAAGGAAAGAAAAAAAGAGAAAGAAAAGAACTCCAATCCATCTTTGGGCTACTGTTCTGCAATTACTTTAAAAGAATAAACTTAAACACACAAATGAATCAAAGTGAGGCTTTGGAGGGCTGGGGGTGGGGACGCAGAGCTAAAATTGCCGGTAGTTAGGTCCTCTAACCAAAGACAATGTGAGATCGCAGACAATGAAAGGTTAAGCAAATAATATTTTTCTACATCCCAACGTCAATTATGTATAAAAATCTGAGGTCAGTTGAAAAGTATTTCAGAGCCCACAGGGCTGAAATTCTGTAGCAGCTGTTAAATATGACAAAACTTTGCACACACACACCCCCCCCCCAAAAAAAAGAGAAAAACTAAAGCTATTCCAAACTCTGTATGAAAGAAAATGGGATAAACAGATGTCTGGCTTCCAGACAGGAAAGTAGGACAGACTTGGAATGATAAGTCTCCCAAACTCTATAGACTAATGCCAGATTCACTGGGGAGGGGGCACTGCCTGCCACAGAGATGCCAAGAGCAGGACGCCAGAGATGGTGCCATCTGGAACCGCCCTGCAGAGCCTTGCTCGGGCCCTGCATGCAGCCACCGTGCAGCCAGGCCAGCCAGTGTGGGCAGCCACACCGCCCTGCTCCTGCGCCCTCCACAGTCACCTGCCCAGGCTCAACAGTTGGACCCTGCCCTGCGGTGCCCACAGGCCAAGTGAGGTACGGGAGGGTAAGGAAGATGTGCCTTCCTGGGCATTGCCGGAGCTCCTGAGGAAACGGACTGGGATGGCACGGGCAAATGATGTGAGCCCAAGTGTGGTTTTGGTTTAGCAGCTACGCCGACATCCTGTAATCATTTGCAGCCCTTGGAATGTTCGGGTGAAACAGGAGAGATTTATCTGCTCATAGCTGGGATATGTGGACAATGGGTATTTAATGAAGACCATCTGCTTTTGTGTTTTCCCAGAAAACATTATTCCACGAGGAAAATGATACTCCCATCCTTCTCAGCAATACCATAAAAATGCATGCATATATTCGTGCATGTGTGCATTTATACACACACATGCCCATGTGGGGGGCGCATGGCTGGGTGCGGAGGGGGGGGAGGAGGTGAACTACGCCTCCTTCCTTGCATTTGCCTCTCTGCAGGTCAATACAATTTACACAAATCCTGGCACCACAGCTTTTCCTTTACAATGTTAAGCTTTTCCTTTTCTCTGTAATTTGCTGTATTATTTTAAATACACTGTAGTATAATTATATCCGTGAAATTATAAAAAGTGAATTCTTTAGCAGTGTTCTATGGGGAAGAAAACAGCACAAGTGAAAGCTGCACAATAAACGAAAAGGGTTGTACAATGGGAGGTATCGCCACGGTTCTCCCGTTTTACTCTGAAGGGTCTTCCATGCCATTCGTAAGTATCTAATGGTTCTGAAAGATAACTAAACTAAATTGTGTAATTAATTGATTTAAGGCATCAGGGTGTATAGAATGTGATTAGGCGGCCAGAGCAGGGAGCTCACTTCTCTGTTCTCATAACACAGGAAAGCAGTGTCGACGTGCAGAAAAGAGGCTGGGTGTGCGTTGGAACAAGTGTGGGCCCATTGATCTCAATTCAGGTTGGAATTATTGGTTTATATCCTCAGGACAAATATGCCTTATCTGGTCAGAACCTGCTAACTGCATCCAAAGGCCACAAGAAGCCGGCGAAGCGCATTGTATATAATTCTTTTTTAAGTCAACTAACCAAGTGACGACATGGCTGGTAGGGACCTGTAAACTGACTCAACAATCTGATGGTATGTTTTATTCTGCAATGCTCAAGAGTAAACTTGGGCTAGAAACTCAACATAAGCAACTAATTTTCAGAGGCAACACACACCCCACAGAAATGACTGTCATTTCGAAACTGAAACACATCTCCGTTGTGAAAGACCGCTCACTCCAGAGCTTCCTTCTTCTAGGTGTTTTTCTTTCTCTAATTAACACAACTTGCCCTGGTGAACACTAAATTCATTTTTTTTTTGTCCTAGAAATATGCCTTAAACTGGCAATAGTGCCAACACCACAACCATTTCACAGGGATTTACGGCAAGCCACAAAATGCTAATAGTATTTTGTCATTATAAGTGACAGCTCTCTTAAGAATGTTAAAAATGTACATCATATTTGTCTTTACATAAAACTATCCTTACCTTAAAATCCCTACCATGAAAGGTGATTAAAATTCCTATAAAATTGTCATATCATTGAATTAGAAGCAGAGCAGATTTTTCATCAATAATTAAGACCTCCAAAGCATTTATGCCAAGTGTAAATGGAGCTCCAATCCTCCTTATTCAAATAAACATAGTAAACCCATTAACCAAATGTTTTTACATTTTCCCCTCTCCTCAAATGATCACTCTTCTCTTAGCTTATAGGAGGATGAGTCATCTTAACACATATTCTAATTAAACAAATACAAGTGAGCATTCCCTTAGACAAGAATTAAAGAGTAAATTTTGTGTATCTGGGGAAAACATTTTCTGTCAGGTGATAAAAACTGACTCTCAAGACTTATTCAGCATCAATAGCCAATAAATGGTTGACTGTTATGCAAACCCAGAGTGATTCTGAAGGGAAAACACAGCTTCCAAAATGTGAGTCGAATCAGCATGGCTACTTCATTATTGTGGCATGCTTAAAAAAAAAAATCTCACCATTTAAAAGCAAACCATCTTTCAAAATTTACAAATATCACTCAGAAGATGAAACGCTTGCACAACCTTGCATTAAAAGCTAACACAAGTGCTGCCTTTTCATCTGCCCCTCAGACAAGATTCCGGTAGCTGCTCAAACACTTTCAGCCAATCCCCAAAATAAAATGAGTTCAGTTACAAGACAACAACCCAAGGCTGTATGATTTCCATAGCCACAACACTGAAGACAAATATAATTATATTGATTTTTGTAGTTGGAGTTTCCATAAAGTGTTGAAATTGTTCTCAATTGCCTGAGTGACGGCCACAACTGGTCAACCCTATTTGATTACTAATAAGAGAGCTGTGCCTTCTGTCAGATAGCGAACATTCTCCACTAAGCAAACAGCTATCCCAGCTAGTTAAACATTAGCATTGCACTCCACCGGTGCTGCAGATTTCTTTAGGCTTAACTCGTGGAGTTTTCCGGGTTTAATTTTTCAGACACTGGACAGCACAGTTCATGATCAAAAGATAACTTTGTAATGAAAGCTGCTGAAATCCAACCCCTCTTCAAAACAGCCTCAGCCTCTGCTTCACAAAACTGGTGTCATATGTACACGTCTAACATTTATTCCATTTGGGTACCAAATTCGAAATCTGCAGCCAATCACCCAAAGGGCCTTTTGCTGCTCCTCATTGTTGGGGAGAAAGCAATCTCTCCTCCTCAGAGTGATTTGGGCGAGTGTCGAGTGTCGTGTCGGAAGAAGAGGGCGGTGGTGTTTTTGTTGCTTCAACCCGAGCCAATGCCAAATGCACATTAGCACTATTAGGGCTGATGACTGCTATCTT